CCTCATTATGACAAAACACACTTATAAGTTATTGTCTTCACTTCATGTATTGTAGGAGTGTGGATGGACGTGGATGTGAACTGCAACAAAACTTGAGGCGATAATTCTGGTTTGGTTTGTTTCTATTTTTAGTCTCAGTCTTTCTGCTGGTTACGTAACTTTGGCCCATCAGCAATGAAATTAGTCACAATTTCCACCCGTAGTAGTGATGAAGTGAGTCAGTCTATCAGACAGTGTGTCGGGGGGTGGGGGTGGGGGTGTCCTCTCTGCCCTTCTCTCTATCTCTATTGTCGAATGCCTCATTAATCAATCATGATATCAATTACTTCAACAAGCAAAAGGTCAGGAGAGACCACGGCAGCGATGCGCTTCCTCCAGTCATTAGTCAGATTGTTTATTTGTCATTGCTACCCCCCCCCCCCCGCTTTGTTGTCCTCTGTGCACCCACACTCTGCTCCCTCACCCCAACCCCGCACCTCACTCCATCCTGGCAGGTTATGACATCACGGCGATGAAAAAGTCCCTTGAACCATTTGGTTCCTCTTTGAAGTCAGAGCCGTTTTTAACTCGGAGCCTCATTAACATTAATGAAGGAGATGGAAATATTCTAATCTCATATCCCATTCTCCATTCCCGCAGATTCTTCCTCTGTCTCTCTGTGTGTGTGTGTGTGTGTGTGTGTCTCTCCATTAGAGACCTTTTAACAGGGTAAAAGTAAAAGTAATGTGGGAGACATGCGAGCAGGATTTGCTGTTCTGTGTCTGTGAAGCTGTTTAATCACCTTGAAACGAAAAAGAAAAAGTGTAACGTGGGTAAATTTGTTGGCAGCCACCAGGGGAACTCGAACCCCAGAGGATGAGTCTGCAGTTGCCGGCGGTTACGTGGAAAGCTCAGCTCAGCTAATTAAAAAATAAATAAATAGTGATTTGATTAAGATATAGATCCACACACTAAGTCAGTTACAACACCTGAACATTACATGTTATGATTAACAGTGTGTGAACACTCGTTAGCTAGCAGAGAAATCTAAACTGTTAATTTAAGGTAATAAATGAACAATGGTTAAAACAATTTTTAAACAATTACAATAAACAATCTTTTCAATGGTTAAATAAGCAGCTAAAAGTAAATAATTAGGTAACTATAATAGATAAGTGCTTGAAATAACTCAAAGTAATTAATAAGATGTAATTAAGTTAGGTCAGCAGAGTTAAAGAGCTGAAGTAGTTTTAAATATTACTAATTACTAATAAGTGATAACTAAAGGTTTTGGATAAACGGTGACAAAGTGTAAATGTGATGAATAAACAGTTAAAATGTGCAGATTTTCTAACTCTGGTCACAGCAGAAGAAGCAAAGCTGACTCTTTATTTATTTTATTTTGTTTTTAAAAAAACACATCCACTTTTATGAACCACTCCTGAGCCACAGCCCACCCCAACTATTACTACTGAATAACATCCTGTTTAAAATCAACGAGAGGGTTGTTGGGGTACGTCAAATAAAAAAATTAAAAGGGTAAAGAGACGCCACTTTCTGTAGACATGACGGCAGTGTAGCTCAGTGGAGAGAGAGAGAGAGAGAGAGAGAGAGAGAGAGAGAGAGAGAGAGTTCAGTGTGAGGGTTAACAGGAAGCTGAGGAGGGTCAACAAGAGCAGACCACTCCAGTCAAGTGCCTGACAAGTGGAAATATACGTTTCCCTGTGATTATCCGCGGAGACGAAAGGAGCGATGCACCAACACATAATGCGCACTAATCTGAAAGAGGGGAATATTAACGATGTTATTAATGCAGGTGGAAGATGAGATGTGTCGCGTCTGCGTCTCCACAGTCACATGAAGGAGGTTTTTCTCTTCACGTGTCACGTTGCATGTTCTGCTCTCTGGAGTCGCCACATTTCATTTTGTTGTTTTTTTTTCCCTCTCACCACAGTTTCAGACCGATTTCTCTGGCTCCGACCTCACAGCTCAGGCGCACACACTTACAGTCCCCCTCCACACAAACCACAAGAATGTACAGTTTACAAATCTGCAGGCTGGTGTTAATTTTGTCATTTATTTTTAGAGCATGTTGATTTTAGTCATATGTAGTCGACCCCATCCTTTTTATTTTTAATCGACGAAAACTCTTGACATTTTAGGGTTTTTTTCCAGGGTATTTTTCAGTCTGTAAATGAGTCTCTGAGGATCTGGAGGAAAGAAATCTTTCTAGTGTTCTCGTCTTGTTTTTCCAGACTGCAGGGTCGCACATACAACAGTGTATCTTGAGCTAGTAAAGTTTCAGTGCCTGGGTTTGATAATACATTAAAGGAAGCATTTGACATTTTTGGGGAAAAAAACATATTAATACTTGGATGCTTACTAATATACAGTAAATGTTTAATTAATCATGTGGGAAATGCTGGACAACAAAGATTTAGATCGATACAGCTCTCAGTAAATATGAAGCTACAGTTAGCGGCCGGTTAGCTTAGCGTGAAGACTGGTACGATACGTCTACCAGCATCTCGGGTCAAACTCCAAGTCACTGCAAGTGTAATAAAAATATGTATATATAAAAATAGTCTTGTACATAACCCACTCTAAAATGACAAATTTAGATTTTTGTGCAGATTAAATAAAAAAGATGTAACAAAATGTTTGTTTACAGTACATTGTACTTTGGCATGTGACAAATAAAACTTTGAACTGCTGTTTAATACCTGAAACATAAAATACAACAATATGATTATACATTATAAAAAAAAACCTGAAACAAAAAATACAATTAAGTAATTAATTATATATTATGAAAAAAACACCTGAAACATAAAATGTAAAAATATAATTATATTACAAAAAAACTTGAAACTTGAAAAATAAAATACAAAAATACAAAACACAGAATACAATAATAAAATTATATATGATTAAAGTAAAACACCTGAAACATAAAAAAAACAATAATATAATGATATATTGTAAAAAATATATATATTTATTGAAACATTTATTGAAATATTAAACTTTGGATCTCGCCCCAGGACTAGAACACACGTGGCTTTTCTGAGCCTTTGTAAAAAATGACTGGATCTTAGTCTTAGAGGTGTGAGGTTTAGGAATTCGCCTGTGGAAAATGTAAAAATCCTCAGCCACGGCAGCGAGTCATGAATTAATTATCATTTCTCTCCTCCACTCCATCAGCGGCTCCTGTTTTGTCTCGGCTCCACAGACGCAGCCATGTGGATGTTCAGACGCCACGCCGAGGTGTTAACTCTTCATGCAGCTTCCACACAGATCTGTGATGAAAGTCACTGAAATAAAAAAAGAAATAAAAAAAATTAAAGAAGTCCGGAGGTTTCGATGGTAATATTAAGTTCATCAGCTGCTGCAGAGCGTTAACACGGCTCAGCCTCTGTTGTCATAATGAAGCACATTAGCAGAGGTGTGAAAGTGTACGTGAAAGCCTGATGTGTGAGAAGGTGCGGATATGGATACACACTTGTACGTGTGTGTGTGTGTGAGTGTGTGTGTGTGTGTCCTTGAGTCTGCCACACACTTGTAAGTACGCTGTACACACAGGAGATAAATGTTTCAGAGCTGTTTCTAGATGATTCTGTTTCGTTTTGTTTGTTTGTTTTTTTTTTATGTGGAAATGATTTCAAACCCAGAGTGAAACACAAGTAGCTTTGTCACGTGCAGCAGACTGTTTGCACTGCTGTGTGTGTGTGTGTGTGTGTGTGTGTGTGTATTTCGCCCGTCAGTGTTTACCCTCCTTTTTCATGCATTTCCAGCCTTGAAAACAGACGCATTAAAAAAAGGCACGGTGTGAGTTTTAGTCCTCCTCTCATCGCCCCCTCCTCTGGCTCTTTTCACTCCTCTTTCACTCCTTCTCCTCATCTCCCCAGGCGGTTTACTCCACTTATACACTCTCTGCCTCCGAGCCTCTCCTCCCTCTCTCACTTTCCCCACGTTGTATTTCAGGGTCGTCAGTGTTGCGATGACGTGCAGAAAATTCATAGTTCTGAGGTGCTTTCATCTCACCTGTTTCCTCCTCTGTCACCCTCTGCCAATTGGTAGTTTTAGCAGAAGTCATGCGATGAATAATTGACTGGTTCCCTCCCTGCAGTCTGTCGCTGCCTCTTGCACAGCGGCCCGGTGCTCACATCGTGCATGTATTAACACACACACAGCCGCACATTAATGGGATAAAATAAAATACAGATTCTCCAGATATTATTATTAGAAAAATAAAATAAATAAAAGTATTTTTTACAGGGATTGTGACGCGCAGATCAGTGTATTCACTGTCTTCGGGCCAGCGTGCGTCACATGATGAACATGGAAGTTGTCATACGGTTTGGCCGCTCCTCCAAAATCGTCACTGACCTCTTTGTAAGATTGTTATTGTTACTCAGCGACAGATATAAGAGAAGACATGTTCATGTTCCTGTGTGCTCGTCTGTGGGCTGGAGAAAAATGATTGAAGTGATGGTGATGTTGTGCATCTTCCCTCTGTGTCTGTCTCCTCTTCACTTCCCCTCATCACTTCACTCCTCTGTGATGTTTCCAGAGAAGTCTAAACAGGATTATCAGTGATATGTCATTAAGGAAAGTGGCGGCATGTGACGGGTTATGGATTTATCTGTGCTGCGCTTTAGGTTTCCGGGAAGTCGTTCAAACTGATGACATTTGCTCGCTAAATACGAAATTGTGTGATTATTTCAGTATATTGACACCAGCGCTGTGTTTAATAACAGAGGTTAACACCGTCGAACATTATTTCATTATTTCATTAAATATGAAAATCTTGCTTTAAAGAAAAAGTAGCATTAATAGCATTAAAATGAAAATTAAAAATCTAAGATGTTTAACAAGTTTCCTGACGTCACGTGAGTAGCATCAGTAAACCATAGCACACTGTCAGCTGAAAGGAATATTTGATCATCAGATCAGGTTGTTATTCTGTAGGTAAATGATGCATCATGATCTCTCTCTCTCTGTGTCTTTTGTCCACACAGTGAACAGAGCATCTGCCAGGCGCGAGCCGCTGTCATGGTGTACGACGATGCCAACAAGAAGTGGGTCCCGGCCGGCGGATCCACCGGCTTCAGCAGAGTCCACATCTACCACCACACAGGCAACAACGCCTTCCGCGTGGTGGGACGCAAGATCCAGGATCATCAGGTCAGTGGGTGAAACCAGGACCTGGAGACACACACACACACACACACACACACAAACACATGCAACGTGTTTGTGAAATGAAATAAATTTTGACTGCTTTGTTGTGACATCACAAAGTTACAGAAGTCCTGACGGCTCGTTTCTCTGTGGACTGAGGCTTTGATACTTTCACAGTATTAATACAGAACCTAGACCTGATCTATAATCACACTACACATGGAAATCTCTCTTTATACAATGTGGGACCTTTAACAACAAGTATAGTCACTTACGTTTGTTTTGTAATTGACTTTTTAGTTAGAGTTGATGGTTAAGTCACAATCAAATATCCAAATAAATAGTAAGAAAAATGGGTTAACCCCCCACCACAAATCAAAACACAACACAAACTGTGAAACCGTCGTCACCCTCAAAATGATTGACGGGTCTTTTTTTTTTTTTTAACTCAGAAATTTCCAGTCTCAACATCTTATTCTTGTTATATAACATGGCAAAGAGTTCATGGCCCGTTTCCAGTGACCACCCATACAGCAGACTGAACATGGACCGTGTTGAGTGTGACAGGTTTGGCAGGAACATGTGCTGCACAGCAACCACAAAGTGGACTTTAGGTTTATAGAGACTATTAGATCTGAGACGGTTACCAAATATGGTGTATAAAAAATATGTGAACATATGACTGCATAGCCAGGGAATCCTGTGGTAAGAGCATGTAATGGCTGCAGCACATGCTACTAGTTATTCAGCAACCTCTTACAAACATGCATCAGATATGACGGCGAGGGCTCAGCGCTCTCGAGGTTGACAAAGGCCTTTAAATAATTGATATTAAATCTAAAATTCACAGTCTAAAGAATCTAAAGTTAACCCTGTCAGTAAGTATGAGGGGCGGAGTTATTTGGGGTCGGTGAGTTTATAAAATCTTTTAAAAGTCTTTGTCTGTTGTATTTTTTTGCATATTTTTTTTCCAGCTGATTGCAAAGATTATTTTGAAAAATGAATGTGTGTTTTGTTGCCACTTGCTTGTTAAAGTAAACAAACACTGTTTCCTCACACTCTGCAACCATGTGGGGGGAAAAGACGTAAGATCATCTTTTCAGAAAGAATCACGATCCACAGTCTGAATCTTGAGTATCCCTACAGATTTAGTGGAATTCATCATCACATGACTAGTTTTGCATATGGTTGCCTGGATACAAATCCTGTGATTTCAACTCAGTCCCAACTCACAAATCTCTGTATCCTTTTTCTACTCTGATTTTATTCCGAAATTTTTTGCCCAAAACTTTAATTTTAAAGTTCAGTCGCTGCTAGCGCAGCTAGCCCCGGCTTGTCCCGCCTTGGGTTGTCCTGCAGGTGGACTGTAACTCCAGTCTCTCGGATTGCAGCTGGTGACGCTGGTTCTTGTTCTGCTCCCGTGGAGAACCGGTTCATGTGGCGCTACACCAAGCTCACGGAGGCAGCAGAGCAGAACAAGGTCTGCTGTCACCAGCTGCAGTTAGCAGCTAGCTGTTTACCTGTTAACAATGATCCAGCCAGCTGCGACTTGAAAGTAAATATCTAAATATAAGCACAACCTGCACAATTCATCTGAAAACTAGATCATATGCCAAAGTAAGAACATCCACGATATAAGCTCATCAGCCCTTGACCTGTTTTCTCCTTGACCCTTCAGCTCCTCTAAATACAGGGGATGTCAGCACATGCCGCTGACCGCTAAGCTCTTATTCCTAAGCACACACACACCAAAGCATACCACACACACACAAAAAGCTATTTAATCAACGCACACACATATTCACTCATACACAGCAGAATCAAGGAGGAAGTGACGGAGGAAGTGGCAGAGAGAAGGTCAGACGAGCATGGTATGGAGGAAGCAGAGGTGTAGTTCTGGTTCTGGGGTTCCCACTCTGTGAGATCTACTCCGTCTCAAGAAGTCATGGTCATGATGGCCGCCGTAGACCTTTTGTGTCCAGGTTTACAGTTGTTGATATGGACTGTGATGGGATTTATGATGGCTGCCATTAATGATTTGTGTTATTATTGTTTCTGTCCATTGGATGAGCTTTTCCACGTCTCAGTCGCAGAGGAGTAGCTCGAGGCGTTTCCAGCTGGCTTCCTGCCCAGGACAGTAAAAAAGCCCTGGAGTGAACAGTGAAAGCACCTTAAACACAGACTGAGTGGATCATAAAGATCATAAAGTAACTTTACGACCCAGTAACAATGATCTTTTACCACATTATGAGCTACGGTGTTTGTGTTGTGATAGATTGAGGATCGTGTTTGATCTTGTCAGCTCCTGAGCCTGGTACCAGGTGCACAGAGGTGGTGTCACACCTGAGAGAGTGACTGAACCTTTACTGCTAGTTGTGATTTCTGTTCTTGTGCCACTACGACATAAATCTCATGTCAGCTTCACAACATGGTGTCAAATACACTTTCCCAAATTGTGTTTTATGTCTTTTTAAAGCCCCTGGCGCTTCAGGCTGACAGCGCGGGCAGCACACTGTCACGGTGACGAAGTTGTGTTACAAATGCATTAGTTACAGGTTAGCGGCCGATCTGAGGGACATTTCCTTTTTCTCTCCCTGTCGTGTTCGTCACCAGGTGGTGATAAACTGTGCAATTCCCAAGGGTCTGAAGTACAACCAGGCCACGCAGACCTTCCACCAGTGGCGTGACTCCAGACAAGTCTACGGCCTCAACTTTGGCAGCAAGGAGGATGCCAACGTATTCGCCAGTGCCATGATGCACGCCCTGGAGGTGCTCAACTCCCAGGACTCGGGTAAGCCTGCCTCGTACTGTGTGCGCTTTTCAATAGCACTTGAACGCAACGTAGGGATGCGTGCGATGTAATTACTGTATGTAAGCTGGTAATGTGTCTCGTCTTGCTCGTCTAGTTTGTTCGGTGCTGTTCTGCCACCGTTCTTATGTTTTAATGGTGATCTGCTAATGGACTGTAGACGAAAATTAGCTTCAAGCTAACTCTTATGTTGAATATTATACTTGGTGTTCTATTACCAGGGGACATGCGTCGGAAACTGTGGAAACTGAACCATCAACAAAACAATGTTGAGCCTCCAGTTTTGTGTCTTATTTTAGTTTTTGTGAATGATTTTATTTCCCAAACGGGACTGACATATAAATCATGGGCCTTGTGCCAATTTTTATTATCAGGTTTAAAGGAGCTATTTGTAAGTTTTGCTATTGCTAGCTAACGTTAGCATTAACAGCTGGTTACTTACCAGTCTAGAAGAAACACTGTGAGTTCAGCATCAAACTTCACACTTTTACTCACCGGAGGTGGAAAGCAGAACCAGTGTTAACTCTTGTCTCCATCACGTCTTTTCTGCTACTGAAGTTAGCACGCTAACAAGCTAGCCCTGTCCCGTCTCGTCACTTTCCGATAGCGACTCACTGTAGCCTCCAGTCTGCACCGAAGACGCAGCGCTGCTCAGAGGACGTATTATAACGTCTTGTCTTGTGAACGCGATGATTGCTGAAGCTCTTTGAAGCTCGCTGAAAATGAAATACTTGAAAATATAGAATATCCAGCTATCCTAACCTCGGCCTCCAGAATGGCAGGGCTGTAACAGAACAACACAAAGTTGTGGCTTTTACACCAAAGGATAAGGCTGGGGAGGGATTTACATGTATTTAATAACCGAGTATTAGAATGAAGCTGTTTCTGCAGATAACTACACGGTTTCATTGTGACTCTGTGTGCAGGAGGAACAGATTGACTTGTGGGTAAGAAATGCTTAGAGACGGGAAGCTGTAGAACACAGGGGTGGAAAAACTTCAGGAGCAAAAACATCTGTCAACAATAAAAATGTTTCTGAGCGAACAAGAGTTACTAATGGGCTTTAGCAGAAACAATGATTAGAGTTAATTCACCACCCAGAGAGAGGGCTGCGGTTACTCCTTCAATCCGACGGCCTTGACTTCTCTTAATCAAAACTTCCATTTGGAGCTGACAGTCTGAAAGCGCAGCAGGCAGCTAATGATAGACGGCTCCCGGTAACGGCGTCGCTTAATGGGATGATGTATTTTTAGCATCAGGGAGCATGATCGGTACTTACATCTGGCAATTATAAATCATTTATATAAAACCTGTAATTGAGCATAGGTCTAAGCATAAAAGGGAACAACCGTGTGGTAAGAGACCGATTCAGTATTCATGTCACACACACACACACACACACACACACACACACACACACACACACACACACACAGCCCAGTCTAGTTCTGCCACAAAATATTTTACCGTCAGTGGATCACCATGACCTTGGTTCTGTTCACCATGCGCTCATTAACTCAGCTCCATCCTCCGGCTGTGTGTATCTACATTTTGCCCGCCTGCTGTGAGGGATGTGGGGAGGGTGGGGGGGGGGGGGGGGGGGGGGGGGGGGGGGAGGGGGGTGACTAATCTTCACCTACCACGTTTTTGAAGCCTGAATTTACAGCTGATTCCCTCGTCTTTTCTTTTCTTTCTTTCTTTTTTTTTTTTTTTTCTATTATCCTTTCCAGATTTTAATCCAACAAAGACGCAGCAGAGGTTTTTAATTGCAGCCTGTTTGTATTTGCGTGGTTCCAGATGCCGCTCCACGTGACCCACCGTGACCCCACATTCTCCTCTCTGCCCTCCTCTCCATCGCACCGTCCCCTCCTCTCTCTCCCTAAACCAAGACTCTCAGCACACTGTAATCCCGTCCACTAATTAACCTTAGAGTGATGAGCCTCATTATGCTAATGGTGCTAAGAGGTGTGTGTGTGTGTGTGTGTGAGGATGAGAGATAGAACAGACTTGTGGCAAATCAGACAGACAGAAGAGAGGAGGGACAAACTTGTGAAATGTCGTCCAAAATTTCAAAATATGGAAATGAAATGTGTCTCAGTGGAGGATGGTTTCTAACTGTCGCCGTCATGCGTCGATACAATAATGTGTGTTCCTCTTTTTTATCTGTTTTTCTAACGTCAAAAACATGCCAGTAAACCTCGTTCAATAAAGGTCATTGCACTGACTATTGAGGACGTTCCACAGTTGAGCAAAATAAATTGAAAATATATGAATTATATGCTTTAATACACTTCTGTAACAGCAGAGCAAAGATTAAAGCTTCGCTAATTAATGAATAATTGATATTGAATTTCCCCTAGGGGATGAATAAAATCTATCTATCTATCTATCTAGATATCTATCTATCTAATTAGGTTAAGTGTTTTCTTTTATTTTTGCTATCTTGGTAGTTGTGTCACATATCTGCTGTGAGTAATCTGCTTCTTCATAAAACACGGCAGGACAAACGTCTGTACTAACTCGAGAGCGCATCGTGTGTGGTAGCACGTTGGCTCCCAGCTCCTCCTGCTCGAAGACAATAGCTTGAATACGACAAAAAAAACAAGTGTCACCTACAGGGACAAGCGTCTGTAGAGCTTTGCTGAAATGTAGGTCATTCTCGTGGATGACACTGACTCTGGGATTAAGGTAAACAATACCCAGAGCAGTAGCCAGTGAAGGATTCCTCCTCCTCAGAGAGGGCACATGTTCACCATTGTTTGTGCGACAACAGACTTTCAGGTGTATTTCTGGTTCAGCGCTACTAATAATCAAACAGCAAAATTCTCAAATCCTTGGAGTCTGACCTGGATCTATATTTCAGAGAGGCCGTATCTACACAGCCACATGCTGTAGAGTCAGAGGGACTATAGCCTTCGGGAGGAGAGTCTCGCTAATGAAACAGCCCGACCAGAGACTTCAGCTCCAGACACGTTTCCCCCTGTTTCCCCTCGTCGTCTCTCTTAATTTTCTCCGTCTTTGTTCCCCTCGTTTCTCCTCTCCAACATTTCCATATTTTACCTCACTTGATCTCTCCCAGCTCCCTCTGTCTGTCGCTTTCCCATTCTCCTCAAACACCATCAAACACTACCCTCCTCGCCTAGCTCCTTCCCTCTCTCTCTCTCTCTCTCCGTCCCTCTCCTTTGCCTCCTCTCAGCAGTTCGGTGAGCTGCACACAGGAGCCAGAGGAAGGCGACAGGGTTTCCCCCTTTCACCCCACTGTTTTGCTAATATATTTGTGTCCCGACAGCTGCTCTCGGCGGCGCCTGTTCCACTCGAAGTCATCTGTGGACTTGACAGTCCTTCCCCTCCATCACTCACTCGGTGGGTGTTAAAACCCCTGCCACAAGAGAGAGCTTCAGATCGCTTATTTTAGACCTCCATGTGTTGTTATGTGGTCGTATGTGCTGCATGAATGATGGAGAGGAAGCTTTTAATGATCGTTTTAGCTGTGATGTGGCGTATTTGGCTCAGAGCCACTATCACCATGTATGAATTTACATGGAAGCCGTCGTCTGTTTGACTCGTTTTGTGATCCTCTCACCAACACATGGACACAAAGTGTTGATTAACAGTACGTTGACTGCTTCAAACTGGCTACCTAAGCTTTGATTTGACCTGATCCAGGCGGTGAGGATGGGTAAATGGAACAAGACAAACTTTCAAGTGAGGATAATTTATGCAGCTTCTTTTGCATTTATAGTAGTTTTCACTTTACAGGCCTGATTCTGATTCTGTTCTTCGCTCTTGGCGATTCTCCTCTCTTATCCCGGACCTGAGAGCTAAAGTTAAAACGTTTATTAGACTTGAAAAGACAAGAAGAAGTCTGCTGTTAAGGGAGAGATGAATGGGGCGTAGAAATATACAGTAATAAAGAAAAAGGGAATCCTCAGGGCACCGCAGAGGGTTCCATCGGATTCATGAAACCAACAAATCCTCCAAATTAAAATGAGAAAATGTCGTTTATCTGTGCCCTGTAGAATAATACAGAAGTGTCTGATCTGACACCGGTGGGCCTTCAACCCCCCCCCCACCTCTCTCGAAAAAGAGAGAGAGAAAGAGGGGGGTGACATGCAGTAAAGGGCCCCAGGTTGGACTCGAACTCACGGCCTATGTGGTACACGCTCTACCAGGCGATCCACGGAGGCGCACAAGAAGAGAAAAAAATTCAAATGAAAGAGATTAAATATAACTTTTAAAATGGTTCCCTCCGTCTGACACCTCTATCAGCAGAGCAGCATCTTTTCTCTGAACCGTCCAAAACTGTTACAAATCAGTTTTTTTGGGGGGGGGGGACTTTAAGGTCAGGGGACCTTCGTCGTAATGGTAACAATAAGTAAGGTTATGGACGATTACGGTCATAACATCACCTGACTTCCTCCTTTGCTTCCAGCGGCGGAGGCTTTTTGTAACTTGAGCGTAAACATATGTGGGTCACTTCCTAAAATGACCGATGTAGTTCACGGTCTCTACGTAAGCAGTGTACGCTCAGTGCTGCAGTCGACTACTCTCTCCGAAGGTTCCTGGTTCGAGCGCGTCGAAGTGTCCTTGACGCTGAACCTCTCACTGCTTCTGATGCTGCGCCATCAGCCTGTGAATGTGTGTATGAATATGTGTGTGTGTGTGTGTGTGTGGGTGGGTGAATGAGACATTGTAGAGCGCTGTGGGTGGTCGATTGACTAGAACGGCGCTATATAAATGCAGTCCATTTACCATTTACCAGTGATTCACAGCACCTCCACTCGTGACCTCTGCCCTCAGCGACATGTTTCCCTTTCTGTGATCTCGCTCCCGTTGTGTTGTATCTAATGAAGACATGCTCTATAAATACACAAATAAATACAACCACATGGTAGGTTATCTTGTAGATAAAACAGATTCCTTACTCTCCTAAATGTCTCTTCTATCTGAAACTGCTTTGATATCTGTCTTTGAAGTTTAGT